TAACTCTGGTCGCAATTCTGGTCTCTATTAACAATTTAACATAAACATAGTAGATTTCGCATTCTCATGTTGTATGAACGAGGACGGAAGAGTATATGGTTTCATTTAAAATCAGATTACTGGAGGTCAAAATGTTCAATATGCACTAAGGTCTATATTCATCAGCAAATTAGAGGTACGACTTTCTGGAGTAGCTAATAAAGAAAGATTTGACAGCTGGTTACTACGAAATTATTGGCCCTCAGTTTTGATCTTTTATCTATTTGTTATCATTTTCTTGAGCATGAGATCTTACACTATAAAAGCCCTCCGGTTAATCATCTGTTAACATCATCCGTATTAGTGGTAGAATACTATCCTGCCACGGTATAGACCAGGGTTCGATTCCCGGCTTGGTGCATTTATTTTATTGTGTGTTATTTTATTTTTATTTTTTCCATTTTCTCAATCAATGGAATATTCGGGCATACATTACGTATACCCAAAGAAATAACTGTCTTTTTATTTCAGCATCAATCTACTAAAATCTAACACGCTATTTTTCTTTGTTCTTCTTCTATAATCGGTTTTTTTATTGTGTTTGGTTCCCTTTTTAAAATTAAGAATAGAGATGAAATGAATTGAGTTGTCACCATATTATTGAATGATGTCACTCATTTATAAGAAAATTTATTTTATAAATTTTTTGAAGAAAATTGATTAAAATCAACTTTTCCTTATCTTATTTTCTTTTGTTTGGTTTTAGAAAATCAACCAAACATACCCTTAATAACACAATTAAAGTAATAATTAATTAATCAACAAAATCTCTACTCGTCTTAGACTCACCTAATAACTTATAGAACAGACGAGAAAGGCCACCAAACAAAAATCCTCAAAAAAATCAGTAAAAAAAGAAACAAAGTCATATTTCCCATTATTTTGCTCATGGACGAAAAACCCAATCAAACCCTAGATCATCGTAAAGACGATGAAGAAGAAGAGAAAGAGGAATCAGAAGCTGTTGAACTGATACTCTTCCAAGTTAGCGAGTGCTACGTGTATTTGGTACTCAACTCTTGACTTCAAATCTCACTTGTCGATTTCAGCAAAATTCGATCAGTTTCCTAATTTTTGTTGATCTTTTTGAATTCGATTTGTATAGATACCTCCAAGGAAGAGCGCCGCTTCTTACAGGTGTGTTTCTTGGTACTAATTGTCATTGGATTTCGTCTTCGACAATGATTTGTTGCGGCTCAAAATTTCCCAATTTAGGAGAGGAATTAGGTCTTGCATGATGATTGTTTGTCCTTAGAACTGTTAGCTAATGCGTATGACAAGGAGTTGGTGGTTAAATTTTGGTTGGTTCACTTCTCTACGATTTACTCTATTGTAAATTTGGGAAGTGATTTGATCTTGTTTAGTGCAATTGATCCTTGTAGCTTAAAATTGTTTGATGTGGCTAAGGGATTATGGGCCCTCAGTTTGCGTACAATTGGGTAAACTTTTGTTTGATGTTGAGTTTGCATTTGGGTCTGAGGTGAGTCTAAGAGGGTTGTAGGTTTCATAAGTGGGTTTGGCATTGTGTAATGAGATTGAGAAAGAATAGATTAGCCGGCAATAATCTGTTAGGGGTGTTAAATTTGAAGCTATTTTTGGGTCTCTCTCTCTCTCTCTCTCTTGTGAGTAGTGTTGCGAAATATTCTTAGGGAGCGCTTTGGAGATAGGCAAGATTTTAAATATTAGATATCCGGGAAGTATCGTACAGTCAAAATCCACACCGAATTGCTGATACTGGGAAAATATCAAGAATATGTAGTACATATCGGAGTGCCATATTAGATGATGTACACATATGATATAACGTTCTTAAATGTAATCTAAACATACTTAATAAAATCTAAGCATTCATAATTAAACCATAAATCTAAACCATTCTTTTAAAACAAATAAAGGTTGAAATCGATCGACGTTGCAACAGTTTGGCCGATTTGTTTGAGGCCAAAACATCATCTGATATATCGGGAAAGTCGTGATATATCTCCCAAAAATTGCCAAAAGTGATATGCTATTTTACGACAAACCATATAAAAGGGTATATTGGTTCATATATTGGCCATGTCAATTACACCAAAAACAAATGGTGAAGGATTTTGAGATCATATAGATTTGCGACAACTCTGTAAAAGGCTATTCTTACCTTGCTAGTGAGAGATTGGTTACAAGAATAGAGCTTTAGATTTGCTCATAGGAAATATCAGAAGGTAGTTAAGGGAGGCCGGTTAGCATGCTCCACTGACAATTCATAGTTTTGTTGCTTCGCTTAAGGCTCTAACTAAAATTTAGAGATGCACGAGTTCATGCTTCTCACCATTTACATATATTGTGTCGAAAAGAAACAAAATCCAGGCAAGATTGTTAAGGAGGTAAGTCATTCCATTTTATTCTTAATTTCATAGTTCATTCTCCCTTTTCCCCTTTATGTGTGCTAATGATATTTGTTAGATGGTAATTTTCCTCTATATAAACATCCTGTCATATGCAATACATGTTCAATTGAACCAAGCTTATGCTTGCCAATATCTTTCTTCCTTGGCTTCATTGTAATGTTATGTAAAGTGCCGTTGTACAAAGTCCATTATCTGTTCACCATCTTGAGTTTGAATGTCAATAGCAAAATTAAATGAAGAGCCAAAGTGGTGATTCCCTGCCTAAAATCACCGGACTAGTATATTGAGAACTTGTCCTTAGTAATTTGGAATTTGAAAAGTACTCCACGTAGAACATCATATGTGGCAATTATCCTAGTATTCAGGAGTGGAAAACCACTGATTGTCATTCACTTTATGTTTCTGTTTAGTTTTTGTCTACAGTCAGAAGAGTGGTATGCATGTTTGATTTAAAATTCATTTGCCTGCACTGGACACTTGGGCTGTAGGTAGAGGGAGAATTGGAGGAATAAGGAACGCTATCTTGCAGAAACATTTAACGTATCACCAATTTTATTTCTGTTGGAAA